TGCTGTAGTGCTTCTGAGAAGCCTGAGCTCACGACAGGCAGTTTGAAAAGATGATTAAAATATATTCCTGACTTACTCAGCTGTGAGCTAATTATCCTCTGAGGATATTTAAAAAAAAAAAAAAAAAAAAAAAGAAAAAAAGAAAAAGAAAAAGAAAGCCAGTGGTGGAAACAAACAATGAATTATTTTCTCCAAACCTCATGAAATGGCTAAAATAACAAGTAATTAGCTTAAATTGTAAAGTAAATTCATCCTAGTTGAGAACCATCTTTCTAGTCGTCTTTTCATCTACCCCTCGCTATGACTTTATGCTGGATTTTCGTTCTTTCCATGGAAAGAAAATACACTAGTGGAACTGCTTGGCTTAAACAGTTGGCAGCAGAAATACTGAGCTTTTCCCCTTTAGGTCCTTATTCAAATCTATCCCAGGTGAGTTGTTACAGAAACTTGTTGCAATCCCATCAACATTTCTATGTGAAAGTGATTGGTTGAGTTAGTTGGTATGTTCAGTGAATTTTGTAATGAATTAAAATCTGACACTGCTATTTATTAGTATCTAGTAAGAATTTTACTCTTTAGTAACAAGGTGAATGAGATACACATCTTTTTACTCCCTTCACAATGGCAGAATTGGGTTTGCACTGTTTTTAGCAGTGTTGTAGTCAAATACGACATTCAGTGTTGCTGAATGAGGAGTGTACTGAAAGTGTATGCGGTAACTCAAATTAACATGGAAATTTTGCATTAATTAATACATCCTTGGAACACTGTTAACCAGGCCATGGTTAATAGTGGTTTGAATTAAAAGCCAAGTGCTGGCCTGTATTCCCTTATATATTGTCATACAGTGATGACCACTGTTTTCTCCTCTGTTCTCATTCAGGTTTCTTTGCATTCAAATATGACTTGCCAACAATAAGCTATCACAGATGTTACTTAGATTTCCACTGCCACACTGAGGAATTTTTATGTTTAAATTTCACATATTGAGTTTTACTGATACTATCTGATACACTGACGACATAACTTTCACAAAAAGAGTGAAATTAATCTCACATTCTTGAAAACTGCTATATTTCTTAAGCTATTTGTTGGCAAATGAGGCAGTAGCCTGGAACCGAGCAGTTTGAGTTCATAGGAGTTTACGTGACTGTCTTCTTCAGTAGGAGCCTCTTGGCTGTGCAAGCCTCTAGTTCAGCTTTCTGCGTTCAATCCAGAAATGTGTCAGCAGAACACAGCCATGGAGTGGCTGGCTCTGAATATTTCGTGTTCTGCAAATATAACCTTGACTCTGTCCCAGCTGTCTCAAAATTCAGTCCTGATCTCACTCTCCTCTCAACCAACGCAAACTGAGTTCCTTATTTGTATCTATACCAAAAGATGAGCTGCAGGTAGTGAAGCTAAAAATTTCATGTGCTTGTGGAAACTGTGACAAGAATGAATTTTTTTTTTTTTACATCAGTCTTATTTGCCTGCCTTCTGCTTCCAGAATGAGATAAAGCTGTTGCCCATAATCTAGAAAGGACTCTATCAACTAGGTCCCTAGCTGCTAGTGTGAATTTAAGTATTTTCATTGTTCTGTGTTTGAGAATTGTTATTCCAAAAAAAAATGCTGTGGTAAACAGCATCTCCTGTGGAACCCCACCTCTTGCCTCATTTTGAGGACAGCTAAAACTTGGCAGAGAGAACCCAGTGGCTTTGTGGGCACAGGGTGAAAGAGATTTATCGTGTTCAATCTATTTACACTCCTCACACCAAAATACCTTCATTTCCCTAGGGCAGTCCTAGATCCCTTGAACTGTGTCCTAAGGCTGGAGTATCTTCTGAAATCTGTTTTGTTTCTGTGGTAGCAGTGGATATCTGTTTAGCACTTGAAACCAGGAAGCGCTAAGTTACCTGCTGCAGAAGATATCACGGCTTTTGCGTGTCTACAGAGAGCCACAGCGGTCTCCAGGGCAGGGATGCCTTCACCCTTCTCACTGGTACCGCAGTCACAGGTGCCCAGGTAGATTAAAACCCTTCCCGCATGTTAGCGCGACCCGCGCTGCCTTTCTCCCCTTCCACGCTCTCATGTCGGAGGCCTCTGGGCAGTGTGCTGGGGTCTCCGTGCTCCCACCAGCGCAAAGCCACGGTCACTAAGGACAGAGGTCCTGCCAAGGAGAGGACGGGGCGTAAAGAGCCTCTTGTCCTGGTAGCCCGCAGCTCCCTCCCCGCGGGAGACCTGGCTGCGGTGCGGGGGAGCGTTTTAGCGGAATTTTTATGAATGCGCCAGTCTGACATTTATAAACTTCCATTATTGATGTGTTCATTTACAAGGCACGTTAGCTGCAGTGCTTTTTATTAAACTGCAGTGTGGTTTTATACAACGTGATTTAAGAAAAAGAACTGCCATGTATCTAGATAAACCAGTCTGTTACGCATGAATATAGCCTTCTCAGAAGTTCTTTTATATTCTTTTAGAGGTCTTAAAATAGTCTTAAAACAGGAATTCTTTCATTGTAACAGGTATTAAATAGAAATGTGCAAAAGTGAACGTACCTCTTGCACAGGCACATAGGGAAAATGTTACCCTTTGTTGGGTCAAATTTCACTGTACCGAAGCTCAGCGACAAAGCTCAGCTGGTGATCACCAGCAATGTTTTATTACGTGGTAGATTGGAGACATAGGCTCGCTCCCTCCAAATTTCTTCCTGAGTTTCTGTTTTGGATGTGTATAGAGACAAAACATGTGAAAACCATTATCTTCTTCATATTTAGAGCTTGGAATGACAGGAGACATCCCTGTGTTTGGTTTGTACCACCCTTGGGAGGAGGGATTACCTTGGCAGGGAAGGCTTCCATCTAGAATAGAGTTGAAAAGATCACTAAGTCTCCTGGCTTTTTAAGAGGGATGATGATGCAAGAAATTTCTATTTCCCAGCTATTCCTTCACAAAACCCCGTCATCATGGGCAAGCCTTCTTTCAGTTTCTTGGGAACAGGGAAATACTATGTTGTTTCTTGCAAATTCCTTTGCTGTATATTTACGTACTGCCTACATTTTTCCCCACTGTTTGCTTGCTCTGAAGAGAAGCCTTGGGTTTCTTTTGAACATAGTTTTCTAGTCCAGATGTTCAGAAGTAAAATGTTCATGCAATGAGCTAGTTTGGAACTTAGCCTCACTGCTGCTTAGTGTTTTAGGCTTTCCTTTTCTTCTTTTTTTCCTTCCCCCCCCCGCCCCGATCTGTTTGAACTAAGTTTCCCATGCTCTTTTTCCTTTTATATATTACCTCGGTATGTGAACACTGTTCTTTTTTTGTTTTTTTCACAAAAGTATAGTCTATTTCTAATAAAGTCTTATCTGACAGCATCCAGCTGCTTTTATGGACCTACAGCAAATAATATTTTGCACTAGGGAAAAACATTGGAGGGGACTATGTGGACAGTGTGTGCATAGACTGTAACATAATGAGCACGGTGTATTTTAGAATAAATATGTACTAATCATGTCATCTCTAGACTCCAAATGTTGTCATGACACTGAGCTATATGATAGCACTGATGGGAACGTTAGGAAAACCTGCATCCGTACATCATTGTTACTGATTATTTTTCTTTCCATTTATATTAATACATATTAATATTTGCATTACTTTTGCCATTTCTTTTCCTCCCCTTCTGTCTCCCTTTTGTTTTGTTCTGGCGTTAGGTTCATTTAGCCTGCAAGCTCATTCAGTGCTCACACAGCAGTTTTCACGAGTGGCTCGCCTGCTTACTAGCAGAGGGGTCCCATTGAACCGTCTGGTAGCTCTTTATTCCCCACCTCTCGTTTGCTGCCTGCTGCTGCCTCCCCCTTAGCATGGCACCTTTATTCAGCTGAATCTCCAGTTGCCAAGATGATTTTGATAGTTGCTTCCTATACGTTTGCTGCCACATCTCCTTGAAGGTATTTACCACCAATCGCAACCCTCCTTTCCGTCCTCCAAGGCACTTGTGATTTCTCTTGTGACTAAAAATAGTGGCTTGTACCTGGGCCATGCAAATTGTTGCAATAAATATGCTCTAAGCGGTTAGTTGCCATGCATGTAGAAGATCGTAGCAATTGAGTGCCATTTTTCTGTGCCCGTATTGCTGTTGATCAAAGGTGTAACTCTGAAGTGAGATATCAGACGAAAATCATCTGCTTGAGAATGCAAATGCTTTTGCTTGCCTGGCAATCTCTACACTATTTTATACACTGACCCTTAACACAGCCTTCAGTGAATTTTCCTTTGATAATAAAGGAGAGAAACGATTTACATCAAAGCTTAGGCTTGCATGGTTCTGCGTCGTAAAAGGTTTTACAGCCTGCTTAATCGGGAGAAGGATGTTTTAGTTACAGCTGAAATAGAGGACTTAAATCTGCATTTCAGATCTGATAGTTTAGAAAAAGTAAATAGTATCAATACTATCAAGTAATGTGTTCAATGGCTGATGAAGTTTGAGTACATATTGGAAAAGCGACTTCAGCACTAATAGAGACTAAAGGTAAGTTTAACTTTAGGGCCT